ACAACGTATACTATTTGGCACTTCTTGTCCAATAGTATTTCTCTATATATGAAACTTTCTGTGAGTTTTTTTTTATTCTTATTAAGTTTATTGTTGCAATTTAGATATACATAAGGATCACATTCATCATAGGGAAATTGTACCTGTACATTATATACCCTAATTCATCTTTTTTTCACGACCTTCTCCCCTGACTTCAACCCCTCTTTCTCTCCTTATATACAAATGCTATGTTTCCATTTTATTCTTCTTTTATTGTTTTTCCCTTCCTTCTTTTCCCAGTCTCACCTCTCTACTTCTCATTTCTTTTCAATGATTTCTTTCTACTTCACAATACCTATGGTACACTTTCGTCTTTATTTACACATTTTCTCACATCAGAGAAACAATGCAATATTTACACAAATGTGTACAATTTATTTCACTTAAGAATATGGTCTCCAGTTCCATTCATTTACATAGAAATTCTCCAATTTATCCTTCTTCATGGCTGAGTAGTACTCCACTGCATTAAAAAAAAACTTTTTTATACATTCTTTGGCTGATGGACATTTGAGTTGTTTCCAAGATTTACCTATTACAAACTGTACCACTATAAAAATGGGTATGCCTATATTGCTGTGTTTCAATGTTCTTAACTCTTCTAGAAAGATACCCAGAAGGGGAATAGCAGGGTCAAATTGGACATCTAATCCTAGTTTTGTGAGGAATCTCCACACAGATTTCCACAGTGGATGTGCCAGTCTACACTCCAAGACTGGAGAAGAGTTTCTTTTCTGCACAGGCCCTCCAGCAATAATGCTGAACATTGTTTCACATATTTATTTGCCATTTGCATTTCTTCCTGTCAGAACTGTGTGTTCATCTCAGATGTTCATTTTTGGATTGGTTCTTTAAATCAGAGGAAGTCTAATATTTTTCAATTCTTCATATGTTCTAGATATTACTCCTTTGAGGGACAACTACATAAAATATTTTCCCACTCTGCGGGTTGTCTTTCCACTCTGTTGGTGATTTCTTTTTCTGTGCAAAAGCTTTTTAATAGGATAAGATTTCAGTTAGTGATTCCTGTGCAATCAGGGTTTTGTTCATGGAATCTTTTCCTACACCTACGTCTTCAAGAGTTCTACCTATTTCCTCCTCCAGTAGATTTAGTGTTTCTGTTTTAATATCTAGACTTTTGATCCATCTCACTTTTAGTTTACTGCGTGATGACAGACATGGGTATAGTTTTAGTCTTTGGCATATGGAGAGCCAGCTTTTCCAGCAAAATTTATTAAAGAGGATATCATCCAGGGCAAGTGTTTGGTTTCTTTATCAAAGATAAGGTGGCTAAGTGTGTGATTTTCAGTTGTTTCTGCATCTTGTAATGCTGCATTTTCTACATCTGCAAAAACATTATGTTGATGATGCCAAAGCCTGCCTCAGAGAGCAGCTATGCCCAGGCCCACTATAACCATGGCTGTAGAAACTTCAGGGCACTTTGCCAGTGAGCCAGATCACAAAGTGGTTTGGATGTGCAGAGTATCCTGGGGATCTTTCCTAACAAAATTGTGCCCTGGACAGTCTCTGGAACAAATGTGATGGATGGGTCTCTAAGAAGGTAGCTACAGAGATTCTTGAGATTCCTTGGAGTTGTCATTTCTGTTGTCCTGATTTGTAGCACTGGGCTCCTCTTTTCCCTGTTTATCTTTTTAGTAAGAAATGACTCAAATGCTGTATCTTCTGTCCCAAGCACATGTTTTTGCTCCTTTCTTCACCAGGCTATGAATTTTCCAGTCCTTTCACTGTTTCCTCTGGTCCCAAATGTCCCTCAAATCTGGTGAAAAGCAGTTAGTAATACCCATGCCAAAAACTGAATATTATGTTTTAAAATCTCTTTCTGCAAATAAACAGGTCCATCATTCTTGCCAAGCAGGTGCTTGTGCCACTGAGCTATATCCCCAGCCCAGGTCCACCAATCTTAAATTACACTTTCCATAAAGTCATACAGAATGGACACAATGTCACCATGTTCACTGCCATAGTTTAGTACAATTTCCAGTAGAATCCTCATTTCTACCCAAAGATAATTCCGTTTTCTCAGTTTCTGAGCCCTCGCTAGAATTGCTCACAATATTCCACACACAGCACTTTAGTCCTTTAGTAGAAACTCTTCCAACTTATGCCCATGAACCTATTCCAAATTTTCCTTTTCATCTTCAAGTACAATAATAATAATAACCCAACACTTTGGTACCAATGTTCTCTATTAGTCTATTTTCTGCTAGTCTAATAATATATACCTATATGACCCCTAACTTCAAAAAGAAAGGGATCTATTTAGTTTACAATGTTGAAAACTGAAAATCCAAGCACCATAAAATAGGTCCTTGTAAAAGCAGGTAGTGGATTGTATGTAGGAGCAAACAGTCACATCTCCAACTAGGAAGCAGAAATAAAGAGAGAAGCCAGGCTTGCTGCTTTTATAACAACAACTTCAGAATATTAGCCAGGTTTCCAAGACAAAATACCTTAATCTATCTTCAAGGCAAACCCCTAATGAATAATGGACTTCATATCAGACTTCCCTCCTTAAAGATTCTACAGCAGCTCCCAAGACCACCATCCTAAATACCAAGCTTCGAGATGTATGCACCAAGCAATAACCACGCCACGTACCAATCATAACTCTATCTCTCTATCTTTCTCTCTCCTTTCTTCCCTTCCTCCTTCCCTTTTTTCCTTTCCCTCCCTCCCTTTCTCTGTCTTTTCTCTTTCGTCTCCCACTTGTACCTTCTACAGTGGAGATCAGCACTGAACACAAGGAAAACTTGAAACAAAGCTGGGAAAATCAGGAAGTGTTACACCAGTAGTGTGGGATCTGAGGCAGCAGGGAACAGCAAATTCTAGAGCTCTATGAGTCTTTTAAATTGCTCTCTGGAAACATCTGTGCCCTCAAGAGCCCAGCATTCTGCCTCCAAATGGAAGTGGTAGCCTGAAACTTTTTGGAAATGCCTTTGGGTTATTTTCTCTCTGTCCTAATCAATAACATTTGGCTTCCTTCCAGCCATACTAACGTCTTTATCAAATGCTCCTTTAGCCACATGTTTGGTTATCTTTCCTCATTAACTTTTTTATTCTTATACTATATAGCCAGGGTAGTACAGTTCCAAATCAATAAACTCTGATTTGTTTTTAATTATAAATTTCCTCTTTAAATTATTTCTCTGTTCTTTCATCTTATTATGTTTATGCAGTTGACAGAAAGAATGTAGTTCCCTAAGTGCTTTCTTACTTAGAGATTTCTTCTGTTAAATACACTAGGTTATTATTCTTAAAATCTGCCTCTCAGGCAAGATACTATACTATTTAACTTCTTTACCTCTTTGTACTAAGGATATCCTTGGCTTCAAACACTTCATTTATTTCTGAAACTTCACGGAATTTTTTTTATCATCTTTATTTTTTAACCAATATTCTTATTATGGCCATGTTAGTACCTCTAAATAGTTTCAATCTTTCCTTATCATTCTTCTCTTCATCTTAGCCTTCAAAAGACTTGCCATTCCTGCTCTACTTGTGGTACTCTAAGTTCTTACTAGATTTTTTTTCTCCAAATTCTTTCAGCATCAATCCATTATCGAGTTACAATCCTACTTCCATAGTTTTGGCTTTTTGCTATAGTAATACCTTATTTTTCTGTATCATTTTTTGTCACAATTTCTTCCTTATTGCTATAACAGAATACTGAGAATGAGTAATTTATAATGACTATACATTTATTGGCTTACTGTTCTGGAGACTGGGAAGTCCAAGATCAAGGCACAAGCATTCTGTGAGAGACTTATTGCTACATCACCATATACAGAAGCCAGATACATAGGGCAAAAGGAGGCTGAATTAACATTTTTACAGTAGTACTAATCCCAATGATGAGATCAGTTTTCATTGCTTAATCGCTTCTGATATATTCCTACCCTCAATACTGTTATATGGCAGTTGAATTGCAATGTGAGTTTTACAGGAAAGAAACACTTAACCCATTGCAGATGAGATGTCTGTTATAGTAATCTAATAAAGACATGTGAAAGCAAAGCTAAGGGAAAAATGGTAGGGGAAGATAAATGTTAAACGACCTAAGAAAAGTTCAAGAGAGGCAAGGGGTGGAAGAAAAAGTGAAGTAAAAAAATGAAGATGTGTTGTGTACATGTAGCAACTCCCCATGGTCAATACAATTATATGCACAGCAAACATGTACTATGAAAAAGAGGAACAGAGACATAGAAATGGAACCAGTCAATATAGGTTTTGCAGAAACTAAGAGGAAAGAGAATTGAACAGTGGTGTCACTTTGTTTTAAAAACCTGTGAAACTCATGTACATTTTCAAATTGCATCTCATAATTTAATGATTTTCATGCAACTGACTCTAAGGGCAAGTTCAAAAATCAGGATACTAAGTTGCAACTCATCAAGTACCAAAAATCAATATATGTTTGAAGCACACACAATGATGTTGTCTTGGTTACCTTTCTCTAGTTGCTGGGACAAAATACCTGGTGCCCAAAATTAAGGAAGGAAAGGTTTATTTTGCTTACAGTTTGTGGAGGTTTCAGTCCATACTTGGCAGATTACAAGGCAGAGTGGCACATGGCAGAGGGCTACAGCTCATGGCGGCAGTACAGAGCAAAAGCAACAAGCACACACACAAGGGAGGAAATGGCCAGAAGAACCCTCTTATTCTCCCTTACATATGCAAACTATCCACCCCAGGGCGGGTGCAGCTCTCACACCCATAATCAATCAAACTCTAAAAGCCTGCCCCATGACTGCATGAGGCTTTGGGGGGACACCTGGACACAAACCATAACAGATGTCTTCTACACACACCACCTACACACACAGAAAGAAGTTTTTTAAAAAGGTGAAAAATTCTAAGGCAGGAGATATAGGGTCTGACTGACACTTTCTAAGGTCCAAAAACAGTGAAGGTAACTGGGTGTCTGTTTCTCCACAGCCATGGCTACTGCAGACTACAACACTGGTGAACCGCTGCTTGGAGAGGAAAGGAAGCAGGATCTCCAAGAGATTCTGAACACTGTGGGATTGGACAGTGAGTTTTGGTTGCCCAAATTGCAGGAATGCCTGGGTGTGACCTGTGCACAGGCCTTACTATACTTACAAGAAAAAGACCTCCAGGTCCTGAAATCCCAGGTGCAGGATCCAGGGGATATAACAGCCCTCGAGAAGCTGTTTGATCTGTCACACTCAAATATTCCCCCAGAGTTACAGGAGTCACCAGTGGAGATGATAAACAAAAGGCAGCAGCAAGTAGAAGAGGCACTTCAGGAGCTAAAGGACCTGTTTTTAGAAGGAAAGCAGAGGCAGGAAGAGGCAATGAGGAGGAAACTACATGATAAAGACAATACTAAAAAGGACTTGATAGAAAACAGAGCTTTCCAAGATTTACTGCAGCGTCTATCCCTACAACATTACTTCCCAAAAAAGATGGGCAGAGCTAACTTTCATATGATCTACAAGACTTCTGTCTCCAAAACCCAGCCCAGCTCTGAACAAGAGCTTCCATTCTATTTCCTACAGAAGCTACTGGTGCTCGATTATAGGTTAAGATATCTGGTCTTCAGAGAACAAGAAAACACAGAACATCAGTTTTATCTAAGCGCCTCTGATGAGGAAAATGAGGCTTCTGATCCATATGAAGACCTTTTTGGTGATGGTAATAGACCAGTTACCTCTAAATCCAGGCCTCGTATTCACCCAATGGATATCCAGATGGCAATTTTTCACTGTGCAGATGATTTTGCCAGACAATACATTTTGGCCAAGCTTTCTATTTGTCAGTTTGCCCTCCCCCTTTTGGTGCCTAATCCTTGTACTTCACAAATTGAATTCTCTCTCTGGTGTCTCAAACAAGTTAGGAGGAGTTGGCAGCACACAAATAAATCAGCAAAAGGAAAGTGCAGCTTTCATAACCAGCAGATGTGTCGTGTACCCACCGCCATTGTGTCCTTCATCAGAGTTGGAAATGGCCTCTCTGCTTCCAAATCTCAGATCATGAACTGTCTGATCAGTAAACGAAAACATGATGTGTTTTTTCACCGACACTGCAAGGGAAGCAGCAAAGACTGTCTCCTGATGGAGGGTGTGGTGGAAATCTGCTGGTTCTGTCCTGGGGAAGAAGATGAGGACAGGTTTGACAACTGTGTGACCTTCAGCAATCTTCATGGAGATGCGAAGGAACACAAGCAGCAGCTTGCTTTCCTGCAGGAGGTATCGTCTCTCATTGTGGTCCTCATGTCAGCCTCTGACGACAATGAAGAAAATAGTAAAATTGTCCATGACCTGTGGCAGTCATCAAAGTCACCTTTGATCTGCTTGCTTGATGACAAAGAAAAAGACATGGTCAATAATTCTGGCAGAAGAATCAGAATTGGCATAAGGAATAGAAGTGAGGCAGACTTAATGGAAGAGATCACTATTGCAATCAGACGTCTGCTAGAGCTCTCTGATGCTGCTCTCAGCATAGAGGACTGTTCTCACATTGCTCGCAAGCAAGGATTCCTTATCGACGAAGACCAGACAGAGTGCAAGAAAGCAAAAGAAAAGGCAGAGAGCACAATGGCTGCCCTGAAAGAAATGAACTTACCTCACTTGAAGGAAAATTTACTACCCCTGCAGGGAGAACTGTGGCATCTTTGGTGCAAAAAGGACAAAGAGCTCTATCAACTAAGACAGAAGAGGAACCGGAGCATTGAACAACACAAAAGTGAGATTGAGACAGAAAAACAAATAATAAGGGATAAACAGTTGGTAAAAACCTTTCCTCTCAATGACTTAATGCGATCTTTCACACTTTTTTTACAACACTCAGAAACCCACATCAAACTCTATTTTTTGCACTGGCTGAGTGTTTTCTTGGAGAGCCTCACCACAGGTCACTTGGAAAATCTACATGAGAAACGAAGATCTTTGTGGTCAAAGATACAAACAGAAAAGCAAAAGGCACAGAAGAGCAACTCCCTGGACCTCTGGCAACATGAGATAGAGGCCATCTCCACAGAGATCAGTGACTGTACCTTGGGAATTGATCAGCTTCTCAGAGAAGTTGGGCAGATGTATGAGGCTCTAGAAGAAACTTCCTGCAAAAGAGATATTATTTTTCTCTCCCTTCCCCAAATTGCTGCAGACCTGATGCTATCCGGCATGCCCATTGAGCTGATGGATGGGGATGCTTCCTACGTGCCTCTAAAATGGGTGGCAGCTGTGTTTGACAAGGTCTCTGAGAAAATTCCAGGCAAGAGACTGTTTGTCCTTTCTGTCCTGGGCCTGCAGAGTTCAGGGAAGTCCACCCTGCTGAATGCCCTTTTTGGGCTGCAGTTCAGTGTCAGTGCAGGCAGGTGTACCAGGGGAGCCTACATGCAGCTCCTGAAGGTGGAGGAGACCTTCGCACAGGAACTTGGATTTGATTTTCTGTTGGTTGTAGATACAAAAGGACTCCAGGCCCCAGAACCCAACAACAAATCCCAGAAATGGGACAATACATTGGCAACCTTTATCATTGGACTTGGAAACTTGACTCTGATCAATATTTTTGGAGAGAATCCATCAGAGTTGCAGGATATTCTACAAATAGCCGTCCAAGCCTTTCTGAGGATGAAACAAGTGAAAATCTCCCCAAGTTGCCTCTTTGTCCATCAGAATGTGAGGGAAGCTACAGCTAAAGATCAAACCATGGAAAGACAAAGGCAACTAGAGCAGAAACTAGATGAAATTGCAAGAATCACTGCTGAGCAAGAACAGTGTTCAAATGTATCCTGCTTCAGTGATGTCATTAAGTTTGATGTCAATACTGATGTCCACTACTTTGCTCACCTGTGGGAAGGCAATCCCCCAATGGCCCCTCCTAATCCTCGCTATAGTCACAATGTCCAAGAACTGAAAAGTAGAATTATTTTGATGGCTAAACAGGAGTCAAGGGGAAATATTATGAAGATATCAGATGTAAAATGTCGAGTTGAAGATTTATGGAGAGCCCTGGTCAGTGAGAACTTCATTTTCAGTTTCAGAAATACCCAAGAGGTCATGGCCATGAGCAAACTAGAAACCATGTATAAGCAGTGGTCCTGGCAGCTGAGGAGTCATGTGTTACACTTGGAGAATCAGCTGAACAATCAGATTCAGAATGGAAAAATTCAGACGCTGGAGAGAAGTTCACTTGAAGATCCAATTACGAAAGAATATGAAACCATTAAGGAAGGTCTTGTGAAATATTTTCATGAAGGCCAAGAAAGTGAAATACTGACTCAATGGAAAGAAAATTTTGAAAATAAGTTACTAGTCCTTAAAGACACACTTATGTCAGATGCCAAAATGGAAGCTAATAGATGTATTGATATTAAGAAAAGTCAAGAAAGGCTCAATGAGAAAAAGATGGTTTATGAAAATGAAATATTGAAGAGGAGCCGAGAGTTGGCTTTAACTATAAAAGTTAAAGAATTGAGTGAGGAGGAGCTACAGAAGAAATTCAACCAACTTTGGAGTAAGTGGGTCTGTGATGTGTCCTCAAATCTGCCTCCAGCAACAGAACCAAACATTGAGGTGGATTCTGACAACATCCTTTTGGAACATTTCAAAAAGGAGAAAAACTTAGCGAACATACTAAAGACAAATTCTGGAAAGAAATTTGAAATCAATTATGATAAACATGTCAAAATAAATAAGAACTTTGGATTGCTCACAAATCAGTTAGAGGCAGGTGATAAAGAGTTAATTCATGTGACTACTAATCGCATTTTTTCAAGATTTGATGAAACTATTACTAATATTTGGAAGCAACATCGTGATTACAATGTAAATGATTTTCATGAAATTCTGAGAATAATAGAAGAAGTGACATTTGCACCTACTGACAAAAAGTACTCATTTACAAGCCAATACAACATGGAATTATCTTTGTGTTTATTTGAAAGGGCATCAAAAAGTTTTAATGAAATGCATAGGGCATTTGAGAGAGAAAATGATCCTGTCATCTACCTGGAAAGTAAAAAAGATGATTTCTTCACAAGTTTCAAGATCTCTTGTCAAGGAGCAACCTCTATCAAATCGTTTGTAGATTTTCTGTGGAACAAGCTCATTCCTGCTGTATCTACCACCATATGGGAAAACATGGCCCCTACAATAGCTGGGGACATGCAGGCCACCTGCCCTGCATTCAGTGGAAACAGGGCTCAGCTGGAAAAACATATCCTCATCTCTCTGGCAGAAGAAGAAAACTTTGATAATTATTGGCAGTACATTCATGATCCAAAGTGTTTTTTCAGTGGTTACCTTGGGAAGCAAATTCATAGATATTGTAAAGAAGAAGTAGATAAAAAAATAAAGACTTTTTTAAAAATAAATTTAGACATCATCAAGAATGCCATCCTCTGTGCTATTCATGAATCCACAGCAGAAGCTAAAGATAAAAGCAGCACTGCATCTGAGTGGTTGGATTTGTTCTGTGATCACCTGGGGAACAACCTGATCTTCCCACGAGCAGACTTGAGGTACATTGAACACCAAGAGATAAAAGATATGGAGTTTCTCAAGGAAGCCATGAGTGAAGCACTGGATGCTGCAATGACAAAAGCAGAAGAAAAGCTTTTAAGTATGCCTATAGATAAAATGGTTCCTGTAATTGAGAAAATCCTCTCTGAACAATTCTGTGGCTGCTGGAAACAATGTCCCTTCTGTAAAGCAATTTGTACCAACACCATTCCTAACCATGATGGAGACCACAGTGTTCCCTTCCACCATCCTCTGGCTATCAGTGGAGGTTGTTGGTATAAAACAGATGAGTTCTCCATTGACCGCTGTTCTACTGCAGTGGCAAGTGACACTTTATTTGTTCTTAGTGACACCCTGAAAATCCCATTCAAGACCTATCGGCAGGCAGGAGGGGACTATGCCACTTGGAGCATCACCCCAGATTCATCCTCCCAGCCATATTGGAAATGGTTTGTCTTTCGCTTCAAGTCAAAGTTAGAAGAAAAATACCAGAAAAAATTTAAAAATAAAGGTAAAGTCCCTGATGCATGGACCATAATCACAAAGCAAGATGTGCTTAATGACCTGAAAATGTAACTCAGTTACCGCAAGAATATAACACTCAACACAGAAGACACCTCTGGTATCTGAACAAAAATGCCACTTTCTGATACCATACTAAAACACATCCTCCTGAACTTCCTGCTTTTTAAATGAAATATGTGAAAGCAAATCAAATAACATTTTAGAGGTTGAAAATATCCTATAAAAGAAAGTCTTTTCTCTCTGGGTCAGCTCCTTTTAGTTTAAAATCAAATTACCGTACAATAGATGTTGGGAAAGGGAAAAAAAAATTGCTCAAAAGAGCATCCCTCAACTGGGATGAGGGAAAGGAGAAAATGAAAAAAAGAAAGAAGGGAAAATATATATATATGTATACAGAAGGATAGCTGGGATAACTGCTGATGTCTAATGGCTTATTGAAGGGAATGGTTAATGCTTTATTTATTTATTTATTTATTTATTGACCAATTTTGCATGCTCATATCTGGTAATCCAAACAACTAATTTCAAGACAAAAATATGCAACATAACAACCATTGTTGAATTCCTATCGTCTTGTTTGGTAAAACTCTACATCATTTGTAATTTTTTTGTTTTTATTTTTTATTCTCTTTAATGGTTTGATTAATCTTGCACTCTTACATCTGGTAATTTGACCAATTTCAATGAAGATAAAAATATGTAACATAACAACCACTGTTAATCCCTATCATTTTGTTCTGAAACCCTGTATCATTCTTATTATGTGTGCCTTATTTTGTTTTTGTCTATGTTGTTGGCATTTTGCTATTGTTCTTTTTTTATTCTCTTTAAAGTAAAAATAAATAAATAAATAAAATTACTAAAATATGTGAACCTATGGTAAAATTAATTTAAAATGCTGGTTTCACACTTAAAAATATTTTCCTAAATATTTTCTAAAATATATGATGAGGCGCTGGGGATATATCTCAGCAGCATAAGTGCCTGCCTGGCAAGCGCAAGGTCGTGAGTTCAATCCCCGGTACCACAAAAGAAAAATAAAATAAAATATATGATGGGCAAGGCTTGCTGGCACACTATAATCCCAGCACTTGGGAGGCCAAGGCAGGAGGATCTTAGTGAATCCAAGACCAGCCTGAACCACATAGTGAAACCCTCACTCAAAAAGAGAAAAAAAAAATTATAAAATATGCGATGTCTCAGAGAAAGTCACCTTAACAGGAAATTTAAACTCATTCCAGGCTGCCACAGAATTTTTATAGGGCAACTATATGAATATTTAAACAAATATATAGATTTTGGATGGAAGCTAAAATTGAGTCTGTAAAGTTTTTAAGTGATTTTCTTTCACTATTTCAAGTTGCAAGGAAAAGTTATCAACACTTATTAATAAAAACAGCCCTGGAAATATTGTAATTTCTAAGCACAGCAATATCTCAGTATACTGTACTCTGTGGAAAAATGAATTACAGAATTTACCAAGATAAAGACTTTATCAACTCAGGAACACTATTAAGCAAAGATGGCAAGTAGAAAAAATTAACTATTTTTTCATTTAACCATCGTTGTCTGCTTCCCTGGTATCTGGGTATTTTCCTGTTCACACTACACACACACACACACACACACACACACACAAGAGTCACAAAGCTTAGGAATTCAAAGCCTGGTGCTATATACAATTCTGAAAAGGACTTGCTTCTAGAATAAAATTTATGATGATCAGGGGGAAAGGACCATTTTAATCAAGTGTGTGGATAAAGCCAAGTTTCTTTAAGTCATTAATAAGTACCCAAAAAATTCCTTAAAGACAAAAATTACATATATCATGTATATTTAAACCCTCATAATACTAATAATTAATTGGGTTATATTTTAATATGAATTTGTCTTTTTATGTATAAAATGTAATTAAATGCTTGTCTCCAAATTGGATACATTCTTAGCTCTTTAACCATTTGGAACTTAAGGTCATGGTCAGAATAAAAATCACGTAAACTCAGAAGCCAGGAAGGACTAGAGAAGGAAAGGACATCATGTTCTGTAAATCCACCCCTAATGCTCAGTTCTCAAAGCTGCTGACCTAAAGGAAGCATGATGGGAAGAAGAAAACTTCTACATGTTGGTTATAAAGGCATCCATTGGGTTCCACTTACAGGTACAGTGTCTATCTCTTTGTAAACAGTGAAAACAGATATCCCAGGGAATGATTGCCATCTGTTTTGTAATGAAATGTTGTTTTATTTGTAAAAATTAAAAAATTCCTCGAGTTGGTAAGAAGTGTGATTATGAAATGAAATTCAGGGGCTATTCTCAAGGGTGCATACATGCAAAAGAGAAACGGGTAGTTATGACAGAAGGTGAAGGAGCAGGAATGGTGATTTCTGAGATGGTTGTAGGGCAAGTAATGCTGCCCTCAAGGCAAGCTCAGAAGTAGACGGGAACACAGTGTCGGTAGACTGGGTGCCACTGGGGAAGGAAAGCTGAGAAACAGTGGAGCAGGGCACATGGAGTCAGGAGGAACGAGATCACCAAGATGAGGAGAACCTGGGTCCAGGAACAGATCAAAAATTAGAGGTCAGAGTTATAAGGTCAGCAGGGACAGGGCTCACCTGGTCAGTAGACCGGGTCTCTCACTGTCCCTGAAGTGAGGGACAGAGAAATGGAAATTGGGAACCACCTCCCCAGTAGATTTTACAGAGATGCTAGCCAGTCATGCAGAGTGAGAAAGGAGCCAGAGGCCTGCAGGGATGTGGCTAAGGGAGTGATGAATTCCGTGACACCAAATCATATGAATCTGAGTTACTCACTTTTATGCGGATGCTAAATATTAGAACACATAGAAGTGGAGACTAGGATGGTGGTTAGTGGAAGAGGAGGGGATGGCAAGGGAAAGGGGAAATGTGGGTCACAGAGGAATTTCAAGAATTTCCACCCATATATATAGCATCGCAGTTTGTAATAACTAAATCTTGGAAACAATCCAAATGCACATCAAACAATGAATGGATAAAAAAGATGTAGTTTTTTATACAATGGAATACTATTCAGTCATAAAGAAGGGTAACTTGACACGTTTATAGCTAAATGGATGGACCTTGAGACCATACTCTTTAAGTGAAATAAATCAGACACACATGTGTAAACCAGACACACATTGTCTCTCTGGTGTGAAAAATGAAGAGCATAAATAAGAAACAAATATAGAATAGATATTGGGAAATAGGAAGAAACTGTTCAAAAGGAAAGGGGAATGGGGCTGGGAGGAAGGAAGGGAAAATAAAACATGAGAAGAAAGGATACAATGGAAGCAAATCTTTGTAAATGAGGGCAAGAGGGGTTGAAGGGATGGGAGAAGAATGAGGAAAGAAAGAGGAATAAAGATACATCATGTACAGGTGCAAGTTCCCTATGATGAATGTGTTCAGTATTTATATCTAAATTATACCATTAAACTTAATTTTTTTTAAAAAAATTTCCATATGCTGAATCTGAGGTCACAGTCTCACCTGTTTCTTCCAAGGGCTGTACCTTTCTTCTTCACTCTAGCTTATGTTCTTCCCTAATCCTTTGGCTTAACCCACCTACATATCCCAGGAAGGGAGATATTTTATCTACAGATAGAGATAGGTAATTTATTCTTTATCAATATTCTTCCTAATTTTTCTTAAGATATTTTTTTGGTACCAGAAATCGAACTCAGGACCTTGCACTTGCCAGGCTGGCGCTGTGCCACTGAGCTACATCCCAGGCTAATATTGATTAAATTTATACAGTAATCATTAGAAAAAGAGATATTTCATATGTCTGGAAGAGAAACAGTAAGCAAACAACAGTAACAAAGCCCCTTCCAATAGGCTTTTGAAGGAAACAAAAGGTAATCTGCTTGTAAATGAGTAAATTTTAGACATTACTCCAATGCTTGACACTTCATAAACTTCTGGCAATTGTTTTTTATTCTGTTTTAGAACTACTGAAGTGTTTTCTTGCCACAGTCCAACACTTTTCTCTCAGCCCAATACAAATCCACCTCTCAAAATCCCTCTATCTCCCTCCTTCCCAGGAACCTTTGCTCCCTACTTTGCTCATCCCCAGTGTTAGCACATTTAGACTGTCCTCTGCTGCCCCACGTTACCAAAATCTTCTGTCTCACCTAGGAAGAAACTTGCCGTGATGGTTGCAGGTTTCCATCCTTAACCTACTTGATTAATGAACTGGCCCCTGAGAGATACATCAGAGTCAAACACATCAGAAATAAACACAACACCTGAGTGTGCTCTAGTACATTCCTTCAGTACCTAGTTTCCTGACTGAAGACAAAAATGAAGTGAGGTTTACTCACCAGAACCATATCACTTGCTAAGAATCTATTAAAATGATCATTATTAAGTATTGTTACCTCAGCTCTCCTTAATTCTATGCTTGTGAAACTTATTTATTTTCAGAAACCTACCTAAAAGTACATTTGGCCTGAGAAGAGTGAGGGCTTGTCTTCCATGTTGTTGATGTCACAAGACTCTGAATGGATTCTGGTCTAAGCATCCAGACCTCATCCCTGCCAACATGCCTTCCTATCTTTTTCTTTAGTTTGGAAATTGAAACAAAGAATAAAAGGAATTAAAGGGATGTATAAAGGCCAGGAGAAGAGAAGAAATAGGAGAGGAAATGAGAGGAGGAAAACGAGGCAGTAGGAGGAAGAGGGGAAAGGAGTTCCTCTGATAACAAAATGATACTTAGAAAAGAGTAAAATATTTTTCCTGTGAAATGAGACTGTATTACTAGCCAGAAAGAAACACTTTCACAAGCTTATCTAAAGACTTGAAGAATCTAATTGTGTATGTTGGTTTGCTGAGAACTCAAAAGTCCTACTCTGGGAAGTGGGCAGTGTAATAACAATGCTGATGACATAAGTTCTGAACATGATGAATTTTGCAGTGAAGAGTGCTACAGTGAAGCTGTTAGGTACTGGGTCCTCTCTAGCCAACAGGGTTCAGACTGAGGAACAAGTCCCTTGACTTCTACTGCTTTTATGGTGTGGGTGAGAGATGTGAGGGAAAAATATGGAGTGAGAAATAGCAAACCCTCTCAGTATCCTCAGACAGAAGACAAAGATCTAGAATATACAAAGAAATAAAAAAGACACTCTCCAAATTTCAGGACCCAATTCAAAAATGGTATCTGAAATAAACAGACACTTTTTAGAGAAAGAAGTACAAAGAGCCAATAAATATGTGAAGAAATGCTCAACATCACTGGCTTCAAGAAATGCAAACTAAAACAACACTG